AACAAATGTTTACTTTGTATCCTTTAGCTTTTCAACCCCAGGATTTCAGAAATTAAAGAACTTTCTGGAAGTCTAGGTATAGCAAAATAAACAAATAGTATATTTTATTGGAACTTTTAAGGAGACAATACAAGAATGTGTTAAAATAATTACATTATGATTGTATTTTTAAGCATCAATAAAGATGATTATTCTTGAGAAAATCAAAGCTATGTAGTTTTATTTATTTTTATTGTATTCTAATAAAACTTTTAATAAGACATAAAGTAAAAGTACTAAATGCTGATCAATATTTAGATTTGACTCATTTCTCCTTCTGCTAGACTGTGGGATCTTGGGTTATCACTTATGATTTCTAATGCCATATTATCACTTTTGGATAGCCTTTACAAGGGACATTAGGTCCAAACCAGGGGTCCTCAAACTTTTTAAACAGAGGGCCAGTTCATGGTCCCTCATACCACTGGAGGGATGGATTACAGTTTAAAAAAACTATGAACAAATTCCTATGCATACTGCACATATCTTATTTTGAAGTAAAAAAACAAATAGGCAAAAACACTTGCATGTGGCCCACGGGCCATAGTTTGAGGACACCTGGTCCAAACCATGAGTAAATGAATTAGAAATTTCAGAGAATGTTATGTTTAGCTGCATACAAGGTTAGATAAAGATGAATGTTGTGGAGAAATTACTCACAATGAGAAAGAATCCACAAGCAAGACTGAAGAATCCATTAGACATCTATGCCACACTACACTCAGAACCTCCTAGAACAACCTCCTCCCTCTTCCTCCTATTCCTTCACTTCCTCCTCCTCCTCCTCCTTATCTCCTCTCTCTCTCTCTCTCTCTCTCTCTCTCTCTCTCTCTCTCTTTCTCTCTCTCTCTCTCTCAGCTACTCCTGCACCCAATCCAACCATGTGCATACACCCTTCTGAACATGTTTGTTTGGTTCAGATGTAGACACTTGACCTATGTCAAGCTAAGCAAAAGCCTTTATAGGATTTTCATACTAGAACTGAGAAAAGGAGGATCAATGCTTCTCTGGTGGTCAGAAAAATGGGATGTGGGGCCATGTTCATGCCTGGTTTCCTGGAAACCAGGCTACAGGAAAATATAGTTGTCCCTTGCTATCTGTGGGAGATTGGTTCTAAGAATACCCATGGGTATCAAAAATCTGTGGATGCCCAAGTCTCTCATATAAAATGGTGTAGTATTTGCATATATCCTATGTATATCCTTCCTTATACTTTAAATCATCTCTAGATTACTTATAATACCTAGTACAATGTAAATTATATGTAAATAGTTGTTATACTGTATTGTTTAGGGAATGATGACAAGGAAAATAATGCCTGTACACATGTATTTACAGGAATACTGCACTCTTGATGATACCCTTTTCTCTCTTTTCCTTTTTTAATACAAGTTGAAGGAGGGATGGGGGCAAGTAAGATGATGGCTCCTATGAAACCTACTTGTACGTGTGTATATGTGTGTGTATAACATGTAATAAAAAATATATATAAATAAAATGAAAATATTGTATCCCTAATACTAATAAGCTCCTTCTAGTTTGAAATTATAGAGAATATTAATTTCTGTCTTGTGCTGTTCTGATCTTTGCCAATTTTTATGTTGAAGTTGGTCATTTTTTCTTCAGACAAAATTATCATTTTGTAAAAATCTGATAAAAGTCAATTTAATCAACAAGTCAGCTCTGTCCATTAAAAGCCATGACATTATATGATCTACTTCTATAGACTATTACATTGAAAAATAAAGTGATTTATAGGATTGGGAAATGGTATTTTTAAAGATGCAAGCTCACGTTTCTCCCTTCGTTAACAATGACTCATATTATGAATTGAGGATATATTTTATTATTTTGCTCTTTTACTTTTACTAGATATTTGGAGAGACTCCTGGGCTTTGATACATTCTCCTACAGTTTATGAATTTTTACTGTATTTAATAAATAATCTGAAAATTCATTATGTGATCAACGTCTCAGATGTCTTATAAAGTCTGGAACTTGCTCTGTATAACTATTAGTTTAATAGATAAGAGAACATAGAAGTGTCACTTATCATTAATAACATGAGATATACACAATCAAGAAGGTGGAAAAGATTATGCTTCTGCTAAATATAAATAGAATATTGGCTTATTTTGATTGACACTAAGATTATGTGGATAGAAAGAAAATGTAACGCAGAATACTAAAGTAATTTTCTTAAAATATTGTTTATGTGAACTCCATTTTAAACATTTATATGGTATTAAACTGCCTTTATATTACGTCAGTTTCTATGTAGCCAGATATTGTGTGTCACAGTTTCTTCATCCCTAGAGAGGAGTAAAATATCTATTTCACAGGATTTTCAAGGTACTCTAATGTACGATGATGAATATATTTAAAAATAAAGAATAATATACAAATCCAAATATATTAGTCAGCCTGGGCTGCCAAAACAAAACATCATTACAGTGTTGTTTAAACAACAGAAATGTCTTTTCTCACAGTGCTAGAAGCTAGAAGTCTGAGATCAGTGTGACAGCATGGTCAGTTCCAGTTCCTAGAGAGGGATTTCCCCTTAGTTGTAGATGGATGGCATCTTGATACTTCTTTGTGTGAGCATGTAGGAGAGACAGAGAGAGAAATATTCTCTGTGTCTCTTCTTATAAGAGTGCATACCTCAATATGCAAGCCCCAACCACAGGATTTGGTCTAACCCTAATTATCTCTCCCAAATTCCATCTCCAAATACCACCGCTTTGGGAGTTAGGACTTCAACATATGAATTTTGTTATAGACAAACATTTAGTCTATAACATTGAGTTATTTTTATTGGCAGCCTAATAATGGTAATGGTATTAGTTAGAGATATCCAGAGAAACAGAAAAATGTGATGTGTGTGTATCTAGAAAGATTTATTAGAAGGTATTGGTTCATGCAGTTATGGAAGCAAGGCTGGCAAGGCTCAAGATCTTCAACGTGAGTCTGCAACCTAGAGCCTGGGAGAGCTGGTTTTAGTTCTAGTCTAAATCAGAAGGACTGAGAACCAGGAGAGCCTGTGATGTAGTTCTAGTCTGAAGCCTTGTAGGCTTGAGACCCAGGAAGAGCCTATGTTTCGGTTTAATGTGAAGGCAGGATAAAAGCCAATGACCCAGTTTTTGAAGGCAGTCTGGCAGGAAGAGAGCCTGCTGATTAGAAAGAAAGTCAGCCTTTTTGTTCTACTCAGGCCTTCAACTGAATGGATGAGATCCATTCACATTAGGGTGAGTCAGTCTGCTTTACTCAGTCTACCAACTTTAATGTTACTCTCATCAAGAAACACCCTCACAGACACACACAGAATAATATTTGACTAATTATCTGGGCATACTGTGGCCCAATCAAGTTGACACACAAAATTAACAACCACAGTGATAAATGAACAAGTGAGGTGAAAAAAAAACCTGGCACCCCTAGTTTTCCTGACTGCAGTAATTTTATAGTTGACACTGGGTCTCCTTGAAGGAATGAGCTAACAGGTGTGAAGAACCCAGCAGTGTACCCGGCAGATAATAGATGCAATAAATGTTAACTTTCTTCCCTTCACCTTACACTTTCAGGAGCAACCAACTGCTACATCAGTGTTTTGAGAAGGAAACTTGGATATTTTTCTTTCATTTTTGTAGGAGGATCAGAGGGAACATACAGACTTTAAATCTGAAAAACCCGCTGTGAATATTTATTCTTATAAGTTATATTTTCTCTACTTTTTCTTACCTGTCACATTTTATTTTTTCTCTCTTTAGCTTTAGTCACTTTGTTATAATTTTATTATTTTATCTATCACTTTTCTTTCATATCTAATTCCAGAGAAGAATTAAAAGTTTGGAGTAGGCCACACACTTTCAAAATGACAGAAGATCAAGTAAACTTGCTCAAAGTCACATTCTATTAAGAATGGCAGAACTGGATATAAAATAACTTTTCATCCCTTCAAATTTGATCATTTCTCAACCAAATCAGTTTGCTTTACAAAGAGGTTATATATATTTTAAAATTATTATTATTAAGAGAGGAATATCTCAAAGTACATATTCCCCTTAAAATGATCAGGCTAAAGAAAGCATATTATCATTGCCCTAGAATTTGAATGCTTTGTAAAGAAAGCAAAAACTAAAATATGAAAGACATTAAAATTTATCAAATCTTGCTGTATATATGTATATATGATTATACAAGATGATCCTAATTCCTATAGAATTAACTTTATATTTTATATGAAATCTGTTCATCATAAATAGTAAATTATAAGTCTAAGATAATCATATTAATTTCTTTTTAATAACCTAAACCACAATAAAATAAGTAAATGAATTTTAAAAAGTTATTTTTGCATTCAATGTTTGAACTAATTTGCACTACAGTACATAATAGGCTTTTCCATATGTATGTCTTAATTTTTCCATGGTTAGAAAAATGAGATTTCAGCAAATGGATTTTTAGTTACTTTAAGAATAACTGAAACAGCTTTTACACCACAGAATAAAAGTGTCCTTAATAATACCTAATTATCTTTGAGAAAGGCAAGAAAAATCTGGTCTATTATAATCCTTTTGAAAGGAGAAGAAGGGGAGAAGGGGGCTGGTGCAGCACAATTATCTTAAGGAAAATATAAACAAATTTTAGGCCTGCTTAAAATCTATTTGCAGCTTTATTACCTTGTTTACTTTTGATTTCAAAAGGGAAAGATAAGATTTACTCTTGGTAGTTACTTGTGCAAGCATGAAGTGGCTCTGGAAGGGTATATGAAAAAGAAAGGACAGTGATCCGTATTCCAAGGCTTTGGCTAGGGAGTCAGGGCAGAGCTGGGCAGACAGGTAACCTTATTAGGAAGGAAACTTGTCATAGCCATCTTTTTACACTTTGTTGTTTCAGAACCGTGTAAATACATACTTTTTCAAACAATAAATTTAGAATTAATCTTACAAAAAACAACTTACTCTTTACATGTTATTTCTCATCTGAGTAGATCTGCTGGCTCAGTTTGCAGAGCTCAATGTTTGTGTTTTGCTAAATGGCACAGTGTCTTTCTTGATGTCCTCTTGCTTGTCTGGCTGCCATAGACCTTGGTGAATTTTAGTTTAGTCTAATTAGGATATAATCTTATAGATACAACATACACAAATTTGATATAATAGCAATACACAAAGGGCCCCAGAGCTATATTGATGAACTAAACTAAACATAGTTTTCTATGTTTAGTTTTCTATGTGATGGCAGAAATAAGTTAATGTTATGAAATGTCATTGCCATGAAAAATTCATTCCATGAAGGTCCTAATAAGTGACATCCCAGATACTTTGATTCCATTATTTCTTCTATAAGACAGCTCTAGACAAGAAGTAATCTCACTGAGACAGACGAATCTGTATGGCTCTAATTTCCATATGAATTGCAAGATTAAAGTTGAGGCTTTGTGCCTGGAGTCTCATAAGATGGATAAAAAGTAGCATCACATATGTCAGGAGAAGGCACCTTAATAAAACTCAGGCTTTGGGGAGAACTGAGGCAGATGTGGAGCATAAAAGTATTTTAGTTTTTCTACTCTGTCATAAGTGGAGCAGCAACTTAAAAAAGTGAATGGTCTTATGGGTGGACTTCAGTAGGAAAGGAAATGCATTCTATTGCTCAGTGCCAAAGAAAGAGAGGAATTCTGTGTGTTCTGTTATGTCATAGTCCTGTGGTGAGCCCTGAAGCATAAATTGTAGACAAATCCCACAGCAGTAGTAAGGCGGACAAATTGCCTTTATATATTTTAAGGCATAAAAGTTAAGAGCAGATATAAGTAATAGCAAAAATTCATATGAGCTGAGGGGCCAAGTTGTAGTTGGTATGGCAACCATCACTTTGAATTTTCTGACCTTTGTGTAAAATAAAATTCTAGCTATATTCTTTCCATTAATGGAAACACATAATAAGGTGCATGGTAGGTATGAGAGTTGTATAGAGACCAACCCTTGGGTCCAAGAGAACGAAATACTAGGAATGCAGGTTATATTTTTTATTAAAGATGTGTCCCTTGTGATAACTGATACCAACTTAAAAAAACCGATACAAACTTAAAAAATTATCAGACATATTGGGGTATATTTTCCTTTTAATTAAATTTTCTTAGCTATAAACATATATTCACTCAATTATTCATTTAACAAATATTTATTAAGCAACTGTTATATAGCTGACATCACTTAAAGAAATTTGCATGCAACAATGAACAAAAGAGACAAAAATTTTAGTTCTCATGGAGTTTTCATTTTGATGGGGTGGATGGATTAATAGCAATATAAGTAAGTAAAATGTAAACTAGATTAGATTTTTATAAATGATATAGAAAACAATAAAGCAGCTAAGAGGAGACAAATTTTAGAAAAGTGCTCAAAGGAGGACTTATTAAGAAGCTGATTACGGAGTAAAGACCCAAAGGACCTGAGTGAATGAGCTATGTGCATATAGGAGCAGTCTAGTGAATAGGGTAGAGTAGTAGGAGATGAAGTTAGAAAGGAAATGAGGGCAGAAGGAGAAAGAGGGAAGGCTTTTTTAGGCTTTTGCAGATGAGAGCATTGAAAGGGGTTTGGCTTTTACCCAGAATGAGCCAGGAACTCGAGCGTTCTGAGTAGAGGAGTAATAAGCCCTGGTCCATGTGTCAGTAGGGACTTTAAGTTTTGGTTGATGTGTTAAGAAAAGACTGTAGTGGGGACGGGAAGGAATGCATGAAAACCAGGTAGGAGTATAGCAGTGATCTGCAGGAGTTATGGCTAAAAGATAGCAGTGGTGCTAGTGAGAAGGCGAAGCTCTCAGATTCTAGTTTTCATTTTTATAGTTGAATGAAAAACACTAGTTGATGAATTAGATATAGGCTGTAAGAGAAGGAAGTCAGGGTGAGGCCCAGTTTTTTATTTGCCTCAATTACCTAAAGGATGGAATTTCCACTTACAGGGAAGAACCACAAGAATGGGTTTAGAGGAATGGATGAATATCAGCATCTCAATTTTGAGTGTAATAAGTTTGAGATTAAGATTAAATAGACTGGAGACATTAAGTTGTAGATAAAATGTGTAATAATCTCTGTATAGATGGTATTTAAAGCCACAAGACCAGGTCAGATTGCCCAAGCCGTAACTGTCTAAGAGATCAAGATTTGAACTGCTGATACGGTACAAGTAAGTATTGGATCAGTGTCTGAATCTACTGATTCCTGGTATTGATATGCTTAGTAACTTCTCTTTGTCATTCCCTGGGCTTGGACTCACAGACCATTAAGTCTTCAAGTGAATCATAACAAAATTATTTGCCCCAAATATATCATTAGCCAGCTGTCCCCCAAGCAGGGGCAATGCATGCTGTGTGCCAAGTTCTTGGCTTCATTGCTGTTCAGCTATCCACTGACATTAACTTCTTGCAGTATCCATTGACCATACACTGGAAAGGAGCCACTCAAGTTACTTTCTATACTGTTATAATTTTTTTCATTGACTTGTCATGTTCTGAAATTGTTTATTTATTTAATTTCTTTTTTAAATAAATAAAGCCTTCATTATAACATCAGCTCCTTGATGATGGAGACTACATCTATGTATGTCTTACTTGCTGCTGTAACCAGTGCTTAGAAAAATGACTGACACATAAGAATTGCCCATTAAGTATTTGCTGCACAAATCACAGTGTAGCCTGAAGGAGTCCCTATACCTTTATAAACAGAGGGAGCTGACAACTTTGTGCATATTCCTTCTTCCCAGAATGCCTATTGCTCCTTTCTACACTTTTATAGCTTTTAAAAAATATTTTTTTAATTTCAGCATATTACAGAGGTACAAATGTTTAGGTTACATATATTGCCTTTGCCCTACCTGAGTCAGAGCTTCAAGCATGTCCATACTCCAGAGAGTGTAGACTGCACCCATTAGGTGAAAGCTTCTTTTTTAAAAAAAAATTAACCCCCCCTTTTTTTCACATTCTGGCAAGTGGAAATTATTCCACTGAACTACAGTTGGATTTTAATTCCTGAACTACATTGGATTTTAATTCCAATTAGAGAACAGTTGAAGTAGGTAGGCACTTTTTTAATTTTTTTAACCAAAACATATCTTTAAAGCAGATGGGAACAAAGATTATAGTTAGACACTTACTTCATAAGATGAATTTTCTTACCTAAGGAAACTTCTTTCCAAAAGAAATGCAATTCTCTTCAGATGCTCTCTCTAGGAATCATCAAATAACTGGGAAAGATCAACACAGGAGAAGAGAAGAGACTAAAAGTTACCTTGCTCAGGCAGACTTTTCATCTATTCTTCTGAGGTCAGCTCCTAGAGATTGCCTAGGACACTTTATCTGCATAAGAAAACATTTGTTCCCAGTAAAGTTCTGCCCTTTACCTTCCTGCCACCTCCTTAGGAGGTCTGAGGAACTTGTCCCAGGACATTATTTTTGGGCCAATTCATTGCCCCTAAAAATCATTTACTATTTCTCTAAAATTAATTATGTGCCCCACCCCACCCCATTAGGAGGTTATTTAACCTCAACCTTCTACCACGCTGTCCTTCTTTGAGTTTTATGTTTGCAGGAATCCTGTGTCTACTTGCATGTTAATAAATTCGTAAGCCATTTTCTCCTATTAATCTGTCTATTGTCAGTCATTTAAGCTACGTATCAGAGGAGGCAGAAGGAAACTTTTTCTCTGCCCCTATACTAGAGATGTTGAGCATCTTTTTAACTGCTTATTTTTCATACATACATCTTCTTCAATTACATGTCTACTTAAATATTTTGTCTTGTTTTATTGAGTTGTTTTCCTATTTTTAAGTTTAATTTTTTTATATGTTCTGGATACAAGCGCTTTACCAGTTATGTGGGTTGCAACTATTTTCTTACAATTTCTGAGTTGTATTTTCATTTTCTTAAGATTTTTATTCAAATAACAGGAGTTCTTGTCTTGATGAGATCCAATTTACTAAGTTTTATCTGATAGATCACTCGTTTGGTGTTATATTTAATAAATATTTGCCTCACTAAAGGCCACACTAATTTTCTCCTGTGTGTTCTTCTAGAAGTTTTATAGTTTTAGGTTTTATATTTAGATCTATGATTTTGAAGGTTTATTTCCAACATGGTAGAAGGCATAAATCAAATATATATATATATATATATATATATATATATATACACACATATGGATATCCAATTATTCTAGCCCCACTTGCTGAAAAGACAACATGTATACATCTTTTTTTTTCCACAGAATTAACACTGCAACTTTGTTGAAAGTCAGTTGACTATGTATGAAATTCTATTACTGAACTCTTCATTCTGTTCTATTTATCTGTCTATCTTGATACCAAACCACAGTTTGGATTGATATATTTTTATAACATATTCTGAAGTTAGATACTACTCCAACTCTGTTCTTATTCAAAATTACATTGAATATTATAGGTCTTTTGCATTTTCACGTGAATTTTATGATTAGCAAATGAATTTCCATGAAAAAAGCTTTCATATGGATTGCTTTGAATTTACAGATCAATTGGGGGCAATTGACATCTTAATATATTGTTAAATATATTTATCTATATTTTAAGATATCAAAAGTTATTTAAATTAATAGTATATTTTATATAAATTGATCATTTACTTTTTTTCATCTTATGCACTTTATAAAATCATGATTTTTTAGGGCTTTTTTATTTATTTATTTATTTTTTGCCTTTTTCTTCTCTTCTTCTTTCTTCCCCTCCCACCTCTTTCAAGTAACAAAGGTAATCAGTGATTGTATCAGTGTATATTCAGGCATTATTATTTCTATGCTGAAAGAAATGATCTTAAAATCTGTGATGGCCATGAAATGTGCCTCTTAGATCTCTAGTGACAGGGAGCCTAATTGACCTGTGGCCCCTGGTGCTGAACTCTGAAACCCATCATCATCCTGTTGCCATGAAGGCCATACTTCTCATGGTGTATATACAGCCGGTGATTGAAAGTGGCAAGACAACCATGGCAAGTTCATTTCTACAAAGTGTGGAACTCTGACAGGCAATTTTGGCTGGAGGACTCTATAGTAGTGTTGCCAAACATTCTTATAACTTAGTGAAAGTCTCTTTCATTAAAACTTCCTTGTTCCCTCTTTTCTTCATGGAATAGTTTCTAAGACTTTTCCTGCAACTACCTCACTTACTTTTATAGATTTTTTTCCTTATAAATTTCTTGCGTATCTAATGTATCTTAGTGTCTACTTCTTGGGGAACTTGTACTAATGAAACATTTATCAGCATCTTGCTTTTTTTCTCTCAATATATCACAACAATCCTTTCAAATAAACTGGTATAGTTCAAACCTATACATCTTAATAGATGTATTATATTCCATAGTTATTATGTTGTTGAATTTATTTAATTATTCTCTCAAAACAGTAATTTTTTTTTGCTACTTGAAACATGACTTTAATCAATATTCTCTATGTCTGAGTAGATTTTTCTTACATTTGCAAATTTGTTTCTGTGGAATAGATGCTTACATGTGGAGTTACTATATTCTTACACTGAATAAATATTCATAGTCTGCTTTCTAAAATGACAGTGGACTATATCATTATCACCTGAAATCC